AGCTTTATGCTTTATCAAGTACTTCTTAGACAGCTAACTAAGTCCTTTATTCAAGCTCTTTAAGTCACACAGATATGGGGTAAAGTAAGTATGAATTGCTATTCTAGTTTACAAGCATATTATATACTGATCCGTTATTCTAGAGTCTATTGGAAGGTTACAGAACCTTCCGTGAGGCTCGAGTTTTTACTATAATGGTTACTGATTCTGGAAGCGCTGGTGTTGTTTGGCAAGCCTGTGTTTGGTAAGTCCATGTTTGTTGAGTTTGTGTTTGCCAAATAACGCGCCGTGTTTACACAAATGAAACGCGTACGCGCTACGCAAATCTTTGTACATTTATATACAAGGTTTGAAGGTTAAGTTGAGAGTAAGGAAGTGTGTTAGGAGGTAATGAGATGAAAGGGCATAAGTTGAGTAGTGGATGTGATAAGAGGGCAGCAGACAGGTACTATAACACAGACATGAAGACAGGAAATGCTTACCTGCTGCACGTGTCGCAAAGGTCAGGGTGCTATCTGCAAGCTGAACTCTCACAGACTCTCTCTTAAAAGTCATGCATAAAACAGCGACCATACGCTCATACTCATAAGCAAGAAGTTTTGCGGTGACAAATTTGACCTCTTTGTCTCCGCGTTGACGAGGTGAAATGAGCTGGTCATCAACAATGATTCCAAGCGTAACACACAAGGCAGGTGTCTTGCGATCCCGTATGAACACGAGAGGCCCACCCTTTGTTTGACCGGATGTCTTCTTGGCGATGAGAAGTGATGGATCAATGCGAGAAAGGTTGACAATATTGGACGTATAGTCCTTCTCAAACACAACCAATCCTTTAATGTACCTGTAAATCAGATGCAAATATGAGTCTCTCAGTTAGAGAAAATCCAAAAGAAGACATACTTCAGATTGATATTGGGGTAGACACCTCCAATGCTAGAGAAGAGGATCATCCCATTTCCATCATCATCTTCTTGGTCGTTGTTGTCCTTCCATGATATAAATTTCAAGCCGCTAGATTTATAAGGTTCAAGTAAGATGTATGAGGACGCATTATACTTATTGATAACTTGCCTAGGCAGCTTGGTCAACTTCTTATATGTCTCCTTAAGAAGAGGGTCGACAAGATCAGACGCGGCAACTCCACATTTAGACAACTTCGGATAACTTGGGTTGCAAATAAGACAAAGTTCAAGTAAAAGAATAAAAATAATTGCCTAGGGGAAGGATCACGATCAATGTCTTCTAAATAAACGGTCTTTTCGCTGATAATGGGTTAACGTGGGTTGAAAGTAAAAAAAAAATCAATAAAGCACGAACCCGTCATCTGTCTTGTCACCATCGGACATGACCTCATCCTTGTCAAAGACATCTGGAGCAGTTTTCTTTTTCTTCAACTTTTCAATGCTCACTTTTGTCTTCAACCTGATTAAAATTGAACATGGGCACTGAATAACTTCAAAAAATAAGTCAAGCTTACACAGAAGTGTCGAAGATCACTTGACGACCTTTATTTCTAAGGTGAAAAGCAAATGAAGTTAAATCTGGTTGCAATCTAACAGAATAAAACCCACTTTTTTCCTGTTGGCGTTGGAGAATCATGACCAGATTCGCTAAACAACATAAGGTTATGAGATTGCCACATAGAAATAGCATGGAAAATTACCTTGGGTCATCATCGCTGACTACAGATTCCGGTTCATTATCATTGTTAGAAGCAGTGCTAGAGCGAGGATACAATCAATAATTTTATGTGGCTACAAGGACAAAAGTTGACGTACACTTCACTCTTCTTAGTGGAAGCCACTTTGCTAGGAGAGGTCGCCTTGTTACTCACAGCCAGAGTTGTCTTGGCCTTGGTGGGAGTCTTTGTCTTGTTAGCCACCTTGGCCTTCGCTGGAGTGTTTTTGGACGGAGTGGCGGGAGGATTCTTAGTCGTAGAAGGGGCTACCCTAGGTTTCTTTGGACTGTCATGTATGGGGCTTTGAAATTTGATATGAGACACAAAAAATCATAATGAGATGAAATTGAACATACCTCGCAACGAAAGATGCCTCTGAATCAGACGCAGTGACCTCATTGATTGTTCTCTTTTTCCCACTGAACACAATGGTTAGATTTTACTGATATAAAAATTGATAACAAACTTTGATGGGGTAGGTGTAGCAGTAATCTTGCGGGGTCTTCCACATTTGCGTGGGGTGGAGGGTACCTCCACAATCTCTGGCTCACTCATACTAAACAAAAAATGGAGTTAAATGCATCAAATATAAGTAAAAATGAGTGACGCACACAACCTCTTCTTCCTCTTCATCGTTGTCATTGTCCTCTCCGTCTTCCTCATCAGACGAACTTGGATAAAGTTTGGTGAGCAAACTGAAAATAAGGAAAGCGCAGCCTAGAAACATACCCCTCCTCTTCATAAGTCTCATTTCCATCCGACTCATCAGAGTCGTCGATGAACTCCGTAGAAACCACAGCCTTCTTGCGACGAGTAGAAACCATGAAGTCAAAGTGAAGAAGGAAAAGTAAGTAAATGCACAAGGAGGAGTGAAAATCAATCCTCATTTATATGACACAGAATTTAATTTGTATATAAAGGATATAGATGAAACAAAGAAGGATATCAAGGAGGTGGGGACCTGAAACCCTGAATTTGTAAAAACACCAGAAGTGCTAGACCCTGTAATAAGAGAATCTCCGAGGGAAGCGTAGAATGTGCATTAGATCGAGTCCAAGACTGTTTAAAAGATCGAAAGGGGTGTGAAAAACAAGGGTATTAGAGAAACTATACCATATTTGTACTTCAAGGTGCCTGCAATGATAGTGCCACTAAACTTATAATCCGAAAATCCGTAAACTGTGTACGAGGATGAAAGCATTGGATGCAAACAATTATAAATAATGTGACACACAATCTATCTACAACACATAATCGGCTGGGAGGCTAGACACTAGGCTAGGGAGTTTAACGCCGTCACCAGCACATCTACAGCCACCGACACACCATGAGATAAGCTTTGGAGTAACCACACTCCAGCGGATCGGATTTTCTACTACTTTGGGCATGACAGGAGTGATGGGCATGGCGAGCGTCAAAGTAGGAAGAGGTGAAAGCGGTCTGAAGGGGAAGAAGGCGCATCCTGAATCAGCGGAAGTCCTCAGGGTAAAGCTGCAAGAAGGATCCTCTCCACAGGTATGGTCCTTGATCGCTGCTAGATCACGGAT